AACAAGAAAATAATAAAAGACAAATTCCCCCTCACAAGATTAGAAGACATCGTAGATAGACTAGGACGAGCAAAATATTTCTCCACCTTGAACATGACAAATTCATTTCATCAAATAAAACTTAACAAAAACTCGCGACCTTTAACCGCCTTTTCAACACCAAACGGACACTATCAGTACACGAGACTTCCATTTGGACTAAAAATTTCGTCCAACAGTTTTCAAAGAATGTTAACCATAGCTTTATCAGGACTAGACACCGAAGCATTTTTATACGTAGACGACATAATAATACACGGATGTAGTTTCGAACATCACAACAGAAATTTAACGAAAGTACTAGAACGACTTAACAAATATAATCTAAAACTAAATTCATCCAAATGCAACTTCCTACAACCAGAAGTAAACTATCTAGGACACCTAATAACACCCGACGGCATAACACCAGATCTCGCCAAGTACGAAGCAATTAAAAGCTACCCCCAACCCAAAAATACTGACGAAGTAAGAAGATTTGTAGCATTCTGCAACTATTACAGAAAATTTATAAAAGATTTTGCTAACATAGCACAACCACTAAACGACCTCCTGAAAAAAGGAAAAGACTTCGAATGGACAAACCATTGTAATCAGGCATTCCTAAAGCTCAAAAATAAACTAATGTCCCCGCCCATATTACAATATCCAAACTTTGATAAATCCTTCTTTTTAACAACTGATGCATCAAATTACGCCTTAGGAGCAGTACTATCCCAAGGAGAAATAGGTCAAGACTTACCTATCGCATACGCAAACAAATCCCTGAATAAGCATGGAAAAAACAAACCAATTATAGGAAAAAAACTCGCAGACCACTTTGGAATAACACATTTCAGACCCTACTTATTCAGCAAAAAATGCATAGTGATAAGTGATCACAGACCATTAGTAGCACTATTCACCCACAAAAGGCCCACCTCAAAATTAACCATTATAAGAATATAACTATTGTACTACGATTTTGACTTAATATACAAAAAAGGTTCAAGCAACACTAACGCTGACGCCTTATCAAGGATAAAAATAAATTCGGATGTATTAAAAGAGATGATTCCAATATCAAGAGAAGAAGACCAAGAACCGATAAAAAAGACGTTAGTCATTTCCACAAGCAAATCAGCAAGAGCAAACACAAACAATGAACAACTAAATACGCGGGAATGCACGTCAATAAATGCCATCAAGAACACAAGAAAATTAGAATTTAAATGCGAAAGCGATATAAGAGATATTATAATTGAGAATGTTAAAGAATTAAACTGCACAGGTGTGAGATGCAATGAATATCCAGACCATTCCGATTCGCTCTTGGAAAAATTGACATTGAAACTAAACAAGTTAAATTTCTTAGACTATGCATTAAGTCTACAATATCTACAAGTCTACAAGTCTACTACGATATATTTAAACACATATCCAAGGAGATATTAAAAGAAAATTTCAACAATATTAAAAGGAACTACATAAATATACTATTACATAAAGAAAGACAAAAAATATTTGATGATAAAGAAAAGTGCAAATTAATAGAAGAAACCACACTTGCCCTCACTCAGGACATTTCGGAGTAAGGAAAACATTCCAAAAACTAAGCCGAAAATACATTTGACGTAATATGTTCAAAATGGTAAAATATTACATAAAACAATGCCGCATTTGCCAATCAAGTAAACAAACCAAACACACAACAGAATCTCTCAGAATAACGAATACACCTTCCACATCTTTTGAAACACTATGTATAGATACAGTAGGACCAATAAAACTTTCTAGTAATTTCCGATACATATTAACAACACAATGCGAATTAACAAAATACATAATCACACTTCCTATTGAAGATAGAAGCGCAAAACCAACTGCCAAAATATTAACAGAAGGGGCAATACTTAAATACGGCCAATTCAAAATGAACTAATAAAAGAAATTTGTCTGTTACTAAATATCGAACAAAAGTTCTCAACCCCCTACCACCACGAAACATTAGATACAATCGAAAGAAATCACAGAGTTCTTAACGAATACTTTTTAGCCTTTGCAACAAACAATGATTGGGAGAAATGGATACCATACTACACTTTCGCGTATAACACTACCCCTCATTTAGAAACACAATATTCCCCTTTTGAACTGATATACTGCCATACATGCCCAGCGAAAAAATGTTGAATTCAAATCCTACATACAACCCAGAAAACTACATAAATGAGCTAAAAAAAGTTAACATACTCTCTAGAGACAGCTAAAAGATTTTTAGAAAAAGCAAAAGTAGCAAGAACAAAACTGTCAGAAGAAAAATACACAAATCCAATTGATATCAATATAGAAGAACAAATTTTATTAAAGAAACATAACAGAAAAAGATTAGATAAACTCTATGAAGAACCGTATGAAGTAATAGATGTAAAAGACCCCAATGTAACAACACAAATTAAAGACAAACGAAAAACTATACATAAACTCTTAATTAAGAAATACAATAAGATAGATGTAAACTAAATTTAATTAAGGAAACACAAAAAGTATAAACGAAATCTAATTAAGACTAGAAATACAAAAACTATATGTACAAAACTATAAATATATACTAAATACATAAGAATTTACTTAAATTAATTAATTAAGAACCACCGTTTACTTTGTTAAAATTCTCTTTCATAACAGAAAATTGTCTTTCAACAGATTAACAATGTTGTCCCTAAAACGGTAAGGGTGTAGTGTGACCGCATACTTTTATATGCATCCGCTTCGAAATGCGACAGAATTATGCAAATGCAGCATAATCCTCTTGCTAAAAGAAAAATAAAAATTATGTCGTGTAGTAAAAACACAATTAAAGGTTCGTTTTAATAATTCTTTATTACGAATGCTTTTACTTCTGACTTACTACCTTACTATTATTATTATTAATGATTTTACTGAACTGTGGTCAGTAATTTATATAATAACTTAAGCTAAATAGTGGAATTAAACTAGGTTATTACTAAAGTTACAATAAAGCTAGATTGCTTTATATTAGTTAGGTCATACCTTGATTTGCAGTATGTGGAAAGATCTTAACTAGGTTATAGCTACGTTTACTTTATGTGGAAATATAATAAATTGTGAACTAAGCATAAATGATTATTAAATGGGTAGATGATAAATTGATAATGCTACAGTCGCACTTCACTCGGCTGAGTATTGCATGTCGAAATTTTGCAGCGTGCTGCCCGATGATGAGGGAATTACGACTACTTTGAGGATGAGGACCATCTAAAAATACTTTCAATGTACAGGACTTGATGCTGGTAGTGCGCAAAAAAAAGTTAAGCATATATATATGGTAACTAACATACACCGAGTATCAGCTCTAATCATTTGTGTTATTATAAAGCTAACGATATATCTATCAACTATCTAACATCTTTTACTTCTGCATCATGATATATTAGGAAGTGAGACTTCCTCTCTGTGGCCTTGTTTTGATGCCGGTTGCATTTAATACTCATATCGGCATTAGATTTTTGTGCGGTGTAACAAGCGCTTTCTTATTGAAGATTCTATTTATCAGATAGTCTTCATTTTATTTGACAATAAATATTTTGCTTACATTGAAATCTCCATTATTTGTGGCCTCTAATACGGCCGCCGAATTGCATTGAAACTCTTGCAGTAATTCTATTACGTCCTACGATACTTTGGATCCTATATCATATCCAAAAGTCGGACGTAGAACCATTTTGGCATATTTTTATGCTCGCAAATGAAGTAAAAACCTCTGCAGATTACGCCTGTAATGGATTTTGGCGTTACGCTAATAGCGCTAACAGAGACGTCTCTGAAGGTAGCAAAATATATGGCCTTGTTCCACGGACACTCTACAGACGATTACAACTAGAAGAAATACATGTACTTAGGACGGACGAAACCTGCTTACCGTCTGATCTTACCTTCTACGCCATTCTGCACCCGACCCTATGCGCTCCATTGGACCATGATTTTTAATGAGAGATCCCGAAGTTGTGTCCGACGTTTTTTACAGACGTTTCTTTACAGTAAATAGAAAGTCTTCTGAAGCCTTCGGACACATAAATTATTGCCACATAACTCCAACAATGGTGACAATAAGTATGTAAAAACAAAAAAAGAAAATAAGATGATAGGTATACTTAACACCTAATGTTTCACATTGTCACTGTTTACAAAATATCCACCGTCGCTGAAAAATTCAGAATAACTTATGAGTTTCGACGGCTTTAATAATGTTACAATTTCGTCATAAATAGAGTTAACTTCCTGCCGACGACATGGGCGTACCAGTTTACGCGATGCGATTGTAATTTTTGCCGTTCAACTACAACTTATTGGTATGCTATACATATCCAGACGAAAGCGTTCGTCTGGATACGCATCTTTGATGAGTGAATGCAGGACACCGTTAAAACGTAGCAAATTCAAACAAACAATGAGAGCCCACAACTATGTAATTAAGTATCCCTTTTTTCTTTAATAACATTGCTTTTTAAGACAATATTTATCTCCCCAAACAGAGGCCGTTTCAAGTAAGGTTCAATTCTCCACATATATTTTACATATTCAATTGGAAATCATATAAAAGAATTCCATTAACTAATAACAGTTTTAACGCATAAGCAGATTTAGATGATCCAGTGGATGAGCAATTATAATCACCACCACTACATAGATTGTTCTTCAGCAAACTGTTGTGGAGCAGTATGGACGAATTGTTAGTTGCATAATTGCGGGATTTTAAAGAAATAAAAGGTAATGGCCTGTCGATGGAAGGCTTCATCATCATTACAGGGCTGCCAATAGTTATGATCGGAGGTATTCATACGTAACATTTTCGGGCATGGTGTTATTAAAGGTGATTACAGTTCGTTGGCTTAGCTGAAAGTTATGCTTGCATTTGTATATAATACGGGTAGCGTTAGCCGCCGGTGTTATTGGACGTAAATGACGTGAGTCAACTGTCGTAGCGGTTTGCGTGCCATCCTTGCGCAGGGGCCATGCTAATCTTCTCTGTATCGTTCCAATTTTAGTATATGTTCTGCCGTAGCAAGAACATATACTCACCACTGACCAGAGTGGGGTTTATTGATCCATTCACAATAAACCGTTCTGGACTCTGGTGCTGTTTAGGCCCCTACTCTGTGGGGATCGTCTAACTCGCCAGGGGGCGTAGTACGCTTAAAAGTGGCTTGGGCCACCGTGGGGTTAAGCCTTTCAGGCAGGAACCCACGTTAAACCCTTGCCACAAATTCTGTCGTAGCCCTTAATGCTGCGTGTGTAATAATTACCGGACATTCTGTCAGTATCGATCCAACATCAGTATCATCCCTTTTTTATGATTTTGCGTAAATTTTAAATAATTTACCTACGCGTAATACAAAAATATTACAATTATAAACACAACGATGATAGTAAGAGAATTTGTTGGCATTTAATTATACAGTCAAAGAAATAACTCCCAAGGTTCACTTGCAAACAATTCAATTTTTAGTAAACAACTATCAGAGATAAGCTTTAATTTCGCGCTCATTTATGGCGTTAGAACAAAATAAAACTAACTATTTTTGAAATTATGGCTCGATTCTAGATCGTTTAGTTTTTCACTCGTCTCCAAAAAAAAACTCCCTTCCTTTTTTACCATGTCCGTTTTTATTCTCTTAGGTGAGACTACCAATTCTACATTCTACAGGGTTGTATTTCTGACTAACGTTGCAAAACAAAGTCAAATTTTACAAATGAAAATTAGAACATATAAAGGAAAAGTAAAAAAGCACAATTAGCAAAATTCATGTGAAATAATTATCAGAGTATATTACATAATTAGTGAAATATGTGAACTTTGGAAATAATTGTAACCTATGAAATTGAAAAGCCAGCATTTAATGTGTATTTTCATGTAAACGTGTCGACGGTGTCATTCATTTATTTTTTTCATTTTACTCATTTATTAAGTAACTACAAAACCACAGGTGTATTACCTACTTACATAGTTCTAAACCTATTTAAAGAGTCATCGAAGGATTTCAGGCTCAGTAGTAACGGATTCCAATATCTATACGAATATGACTTGCTCACTCAGATGGAAAGTCGAACTCGGAAAGTAATTCAGGAACTTAATGAGCGCTGGGTGAGAGAAGTTACTGTATGTGGATATGAATGTTTTAAACGAGAAATATGCGTTAACTTGAACGAAATTAGGTACAATACAGTAGCCAAGGACTTTGGCATTAGTGTGAATGAAAAATTTTAAGGACTAAGTTGTGAGTATGATGGGACAGATTCATCGTGCCCTGTGGTGTAAATGGAGTCTGATCGCACATGCCAATTGGGCCATATGTGACATCCTATATATTGCGCAACCTATTGTGTACCCGTAGGGTATTGTCAATCTGTCTGCTGTAGAGCATAAGCAGAGGCTCTCCTTACTTCTTCTTTCATTAGTTACTTCTTTCTTATTTCTAGTACCGCCGGCGCCGACGAAGCAATTTTCAGCTTTAGCGTAACGGAGTGGAGAGGGGAACGGCCCGTTGCAAGAGCTTTGGAACGGCTGTGGATGGCGAATTCGCCCGAGAAGCGTTTTCTCGTTGTGAAATTGCATTGCAAGCGAGTTCGTTATCTAAAAAAAAACAGATGTTTTAATTAGAGCTCGCTCGTACCAGAGGGGAGGTCCACCGGGAAACTTATCTCCTTTTGGCACTCGGAAAATAATCATCCTCGGGAAGCTAAGTGTGCGTTTTCACACTTCGTGTGCCATCGAACACGGGTAAACGGCAGTGTACGGCATCTGACATATATTTTGTGCACTGATCGACATTCCTGTCAACTTTTTGGATTGTTTTTAGTACATATTCACACATTTATAGCACAACTCACAATTTTTAATGTAGGATTAGTTTAGTTTATTAGCCAACCAAGCCGTTATCCAGTAGCTCAATCAAGAACCTCAATAAACGAATAGATATAATCTAAAAAATCTGCCATTTTATTCGTGTTCACGCAACATCTTCCGAAATGTTTCGCACATCCCCTTAGAGAAATCTTCTTTATTAATAACCTCGGTATATGATATGATTGCATTTGAGTTTCGTAAGATGCCAGCTGTTTCTTGTGTAAACGTATAACCAAAAATTTTGGAGAAGGTTGATTTTGGTGGTGTGGTTAGACGCTTGTGTTGTTTCAAGTCACGATATCCTCTTATTTTTTATTTCATTTTCTCTCTCCTCAAGCACACGCTCGTGCACGTCGACATGTATTAAACAAACTGGACTTGCAAGTTGAGCACCACAATATTGAATTATTTCTTATGGCCTCCGACAGCGCATAGTCATTAAGTATTCCCGGGCTTCATAGAAACACTGTAGTCTTAACCCTTTTTTGTTAGAAACCAATTGCCTCCCAACAAAAAACTGTGTTGGGTACTTTTAGAACATGCTTATGTTAAAACAATGAAAAAAATAAGTGACTGTTGGCCTAAACATGATTTCTTCTGCTTAATTTGTAATTTACTTACATATCTTCATGTTTAAAGTTACCATCAATTACCATTTCTAGACAAACACCATTACTAGATAAAAGTTTTATTGTTTTTAATGACAAACTGCTTTTCCTGATCTGGACTCCACTTTGCCAGATTTCCAAAATATACACTCTCCCTGACGATATGTTTTTCAGCATTTCATCAAGCTTTCGTGTAATAAAGGCAGACCAATCCAAAAGCTTCTGAGTCATGAATATTTAATGCCCCACGAAAATTTAAAAGAGTTGAATCTAATGTATTTACCCTACAGCCAGCATGTTGCGTCGTCTACCGCTTGTTTTGGTCTCCGCAGAATTGTATTAAAAGTTTGGGAAGCAACAGAATGCCAATAGTCTTCGTGTAAACGCAAATTGATTTATAATTCCATACAACATTATGTCTTGGGTCATGCAATAGATAAGTGGGCTAAGAGAGAGAGCCTTAAATAATTTGTTGGAAGATAGGCTAAACTTTCACACGGCCCCAAGTCAAATTTCATAATCTTCGTTAAAATAGTGCATGTATAACAACCACAAAATGTACACAACTTTGGCTATTTAGTTCACTATAAAAAAAACGAATTTTATTTTGTGATTGAACCTACTTATTAAAAGTAAAACACCAAAAGAAACTAAATGAAAACTTGAGATATGTAGTGAAGAATGTGCTCCACTAGAAGGAATAATTCAAAACTGCATGTTAACATGGTTGTACAAGCACAAGTCATGGCCATCGTCGCCCGTTTAAGATCATAATACCAGAAACGACTTAGAAGCCTCTCATATGTTATTAAGGGATCTCAAATTAAAAGTGCGTGAGAGAGCTGTGACCGTAGTCAGCTTATGCGGCGCGGATTTTGTATTTGGGATGAAAAATTAAGTTTAAGAGATGACTCTATTCGCAATTGATTAAAAACGCAGTCGTGTCTCGACTACTGTTAAAAGTTCGTTCGTTGATTGATCACACACTTTTTACACTGTTCTGCATTAAATTTGTTTTTCTTTTACATTCATGGTAGCATAAAGCATCCTATCTACCTGATATCTTCTTTTCTTAATTGTAAGGGAGAGAGAAAAACGTGCAAAAACGCCGCGATGAAATAAAGTAAATTAGAATATAACAAATGCAATAAATCTTCTAAAAGACCTCACATTTTCCAACCGGATAAACGGCAAAAAAAAATGTTACAAGTTAAATTCACTACAAGAAGTAAACCTAAAATATGTAGAATATAAAAAACAATACTTGTAAAAAAGATCGGACAATATATTGAAGAACGTGAATGCGAATCAAACTTCCATTTTGCGATAGTGGTGACAGATTGCCAACCAAAATGCAAAGATCAGAGAAATCATTAAATAACGGGTGCAGTTGAGAAATTGGTGTCTAGAGACGGATTGGCGATCTATAGTCAAAAAGAATACGAACATAAAGTTCACAAGTAAACCAACATAGTAAGGGATAAGTTCTGAAATCCATAAGGTAGATTCACTTTACTGTTTCATAACACACATCAAAGGTTATGTTCAAACAAAAATACAAAAGATCACCATACGCACTAAATTACAAACGGCTCGTTGTCCCTTATTTGTGTACTAACACATTCCAATATATCGCATATATCATAATCCAAGTTGCAGCTATACGTGCATTCTTTTTGAACCCATATAAAGCTAACACATTATCATAATTCGTTTTGCAATTTGCATTTGCACAACCAAAGTTACGATCATACTTCTTTTTATCATCACTTGTGTCTCTTGTAACTGAGTGATATAAAATGTATGTATATTGGCTATATAACGTTTCTCGAAAACCTATAGGTTGGTCTAGGCTTGCCAGACCCAGTCACTTCGAGCCTTTTTTTTGTGTTTTGGGGTGAAAAAAGGTGTGGCTCATCCCACCCGAAGGGTTGAATCACGCCTTTTTTGGTGTTTGCGCCCAGCCAAAGACGGCCGAATGAGACCCGAATGGCATTCGTGCGAGTTTGTTTGAGCCTGGGGGTCCGAGATAGATGTTCGTGTTGGGGGTTTCGAGGGTGCTGTTTTGCAAACTTGTCTTGAAAACGAAGTATACCCTACCCTGGTATCTAGTTAATTGTGCTGAGCCTTGTGCATTTCGAGACAATTTTTGTACTATGAGAATTTTTTGCGATTTTTACTTGTGCATTTCGATACAATTTTTGTACTGTGAGAATTTTTTGTGGTTTTTACTTGTGCATTGTTTTTAATTGATTTACTGACCTATCTTAACACTATTAATGTGGATGACCTATATTTTTTTTTTTTAGCCCACAAAAAGACCTAGAAGTTGTATAAAAATATTCTTGGGGTGTTATTAATCATGTTCTTTTTTTCTTTGTAGAATATAATTCTCATTTATTTTAAGTTTATTTCAATATATAACATTCCTTTCGTTACCAGCGCAGAAATTATAACTAGACGCTGGTCATATGCTTTTATTTTCGTCATCATTTAATTGTATATCTAATTGTGGTCATTCACGCATCTATATTCGAGAGGGAAACAAGAGCTGTTC